TATATATATATATATATATATATATATATATATATATATTCACATACCACAATATCAAAAATCCTAATGAAGATGATGAAAGGGTTTTTTTTAAGTTAAAGGGTTAACACCACTTTGGTGGTTTGATAGTGTAACTTAGACTCAGGTTGAACTTAAAAATGGCATTTATTCATATTTCAGTAAGATCCGTCTTCAGACTCATCATACACAAAAGATCTCAGCTTGTAATTCATGAATACAGGGTGGACTTACATTTCGTTGGGGTGATGAATTTCTGTGAAAACTGCCATAGTTGGGGTTTTCATCAAAGTATCGACTATCATAAGGGGGAAAATGGTCTTCCCTGTAATATCCTCTGGTACTGGAGTAATTACTACGATCATTGTGTTGCTGGTTATCATCATATCCTCTCTCATACTCTGACCCCTGCCATGGTGCGGAGCCCCTCTTTTCCACAATGTTAACAACTCGATGAACTGTCACCTGAAATGACAAAACATCATATGTTTGAAGTTTATTGCATCAGTCTTGGCATGAATAAAAAGTGACTCAATGTTCTTTGGCATTTTTACCTTTTTTAAAAAACTGCATGAACCAGGACAGATTATCGGGTAAATTTACCCAAGAAAACGTTGGTTACGTACTATAATCCCAGATTCTATGCGTACAGGTGTAGCCCTTTAAGGCTGTTCGTTAGTGGGTTTACCCCGAATGCAGCATGCCAACACTGAAAAACTCTTGTCTACGCCCACCTGCTGTGTGGGCTATAAATCACCCCCAGACCAGAGATTCTCAAACTCCCAAATAGCATACTTTTTCTTCAGCCATTTAGAAGTCAGTGAGGCCCAGATCCTAAAGGGCTATGCCTATACTCATATAATCTGGGGATACAGTATGTAACCAACGTTCGAATTTCATATAGGCTTCACCGTTTAAGGCTATTCGCTAGTGGGTTAAAGAGCAAAGTAGGATGAAGTCTGTCTCACTGCGTCCCTCTGGAACCATGAATACACAGGTATCTGCTTAAACCTATGATCACCCTGAATTTCAATTCATGCATAATTACGCACTGTTGAGTCCATGCGCTCGGTGTACACTGGATGACGGATGCATATCTTCTATGCCGGTCTGAAGCTGAGGATTCAGATTATATACATAGCTGGCGACGGGGGTGGGGCTTCCTTACAGAAAGGACGTTCCCGTGCTTGAGTGAACAATCAGAACCGAGTGTATCAGAGAAAAGATGGAGACATCACGCAGGTAAAAACAGATGAAAGCGGTTGGTGACAAACAGGAAGCCGCAGAACAAATGTCCTGTACAGACACTCCTCCGTGCAGTGCCGTGGAGGTTGAAATCCCATAGAGTGAGCCCTGAGTAGGGGTTGAACGACTACATAATTTTTAAACTCGACATTAACATAATAAAACTCGAGTAGAACTCGAGTACTTGATGACATCATAGGATCTAAAGATACAAAAATAAATAAATAAATAAAACCGCAAAAAAGGTCATATTTACAAAAAAAGACCAACAAAACATTGGGAGCATATATTATGCTCCTACCATTTATCATACTGCAAATAAGTCACAGGAAAAACAAAACTATTAGTTATTATTATTATTATTATTAAGCTGCAAACGTGAAGAAACGTGCAGCACGTCGAAAACGAAACTAAAAACAGTGGGTGTCCCACCCCGCACCACCGCCAGCTGTGGTACGCATTAAGTTTAGTTTTAGAGATTAACATGTTTATAGATTTTTTAAATAGGTTTAGAGATTAACATTTTTTGCTTTTTGTTTGTGAAACAAGGTCAGAAGGAAGCTGGTTCGGTAGATTGGACCCGGTGTTACACCATACTCTGTGACCTGCAACAGTGCAACACCGCCCCCTACTGTCACAAAATATGGTGTAACACCAGTTGACACCGTAATGACGTCACCACGAATACTCGACGTGAAATTAAAAACCTTGATAGGTGTCCTAGGAATCGATGTGTAGATTACTCGAGTAGTCTGTTAAAGCCCTAACCCTGAGTCCATCTGGAAGGTGAAATCCAAAAGAACTATAAGCTTGAGATATAGTTAACCAGTGTGACAAAAGCTGAGGGGATAAAGGTTGTCATCACTGTTCTCTGAAATGAATGAACAGACATTCGGATTTACGCAGTATGGCTGTGAGCTTCACGTAACACGTGAGAACGCGTACAGGGCAGAGGAGGTGGGACTGTGCCTCAGGGAGCACTGGCCTTGCAGCCCACACATCAGACCGGCCAACCAGGAAATCTCCAGACCCTCCTGCAGCCACATTGGACCTGATCTTAATTTGCTCGTGACAAATTCCTTCATTCTCACCATTTCAGTCATAGCGTCAATACAGGAGGAGGAAGCTTGCCTTTTGGCAAAACAACAAAAGAAATGGCCATTGAACCAGTTCAGGGATGAAGAAGGGAAATCTAAAGAAGGGATAGATGAGGAAAGTTTTAACCACATCCGTCTTTGAAGCACCGTCGCCCAGGTTGAGAAGCGGGCAGAACAAACTGCCTGTGCCACGCACAGGTTCGTGATGGTGTCTGCAGCAGCGCAGAGCTCATCCAGCTCTACCGGGGAGAGATTCGGCTTCTTGGTCTTCCTGGATATGCCAAGTACTAGCATAGCCACGCTGTTTGTTGTTGCGGCTGCCTAGAACGAGCACTGACAGATTCCATTAGTGAGCCTCATGGTCAGTTGGTCGCTGGAAGATGGAGGGACGATACGTCGTCTGACATACCATGCTGTTCTCACCCCAAAGACGGACGACAAGCTGGGCTCCAGAGGAGGAACAGTTGGGAACCCATGGTCCGTGAGCCCCTCCACCTTGGTGATGGGCACATAGGTGGAAACCGGGGCCCTAAGCTTCAGAGGTTCTGCGGCCGAACTCGAGAGGTAAGCGGACACCACTGGACACTGAGACCAGACTGGATCCCGGTGGCCGGAGTGCTGGGGGGCAAATCTTCCCGCCAAGAGGTTTGTCTGCAAAGGCGCTGATGGCCCGGGCACAGACGGGTCACACGCATTCACAAACCTCTGGATAATTTCCGGCAGCGCGTGGATGAGCACGTCAATCGCCAGGAAGAGGGTGGTGGACGACATCTGGATGCCCTGGGAACCACCCGTCGATGGTAGCGCAGTCTCCAACTCTCTCGTTTGAGAGGAAAGTGCTTGGATGCTAGCCATCTCACCATCAGAGGCGGACCCATCTGAGTCCTGCCTCACGTTGAGGAATTTGTCCAACGGGTAATTTTTTTTGTTTGGGACTCTTCTTCAACAGAGGAGAAAAGCTCAAGCCGGCGTTACTTCTCCTCGGCCGGGAGAAGTTTGCAGGACGTGCAGGAGGCCTGTGGCATCATGGCATGGTGGACATGTCCAGCCCCCAGGCAGTCTTCACAGGCGATGTGCAGGTCCGAAGAGAGAATGTACCCTGTCTTGCACGCTGGGCAGAGGCGAATTACTATGATGGACGACATCATCGCTCTTTAGAATTTTTTTTCAAATGTCGTCATTGCTGGCTGAAGAAAATGGGAGTCGATTTCCAGTCTGGGGGTGATTTATACAGACAGGGGGTGGGGCTCACACAGCAGGTGGGCGTGGACTAGAGTTGTTCAGTGTTGGCGCGCTGTAAACCCACTAGCGAACAGCCTTAAAGAGCGAAGCCTATACGAAATAGAACAGCACTGTTAGAAGAGCAGTACTTTTAGAAAGACATGGAAGTGGAACTTTAGAGTGGGGGGAAGCACCACATAATTCTGACTGGGTGAGTATCCTGATGCAGCTGCTGCAACTGAGTGCATCATCTGTGGACTGTATACATTTTAGATATTTGTCCCTGCCTTCTCTAGTTCTTGAGTCTCTCTAATTTAATTTAATTTTTTAAACCAAGGACAATGTATCGTTTCGTTACATGGACTGATCCTGGAACTAGCCTACAGGGAAGATGGTTCTGTTGTCTTCAACTTCTGATTTCTTCTAGATAAATTCCCTATCATGTAAACATGATTGGGTTTACATCACGGTATCTTTTAATTTTTAATCATGGCATGGTAAGGCCATTATAATTTCCTGTATTTCTTCTTTTTTATATTTCTGTTCAGTGCCCTGAGATGACTTCTGTTGTGACTTGGCGCAGTATAAATAAATTGAACTGAATTTCTGTGTTAGGGCTGGACAATAATTCAATATCAATATATGTCACAATATACTTTTATTCAATAACAGTGATATGAGTTTTAAATAGGTCTGTCATTGTAACAAATTTTGTTGGGCGATTAATTGTCTCATAAATTATTGCGGTAAACAATAATATTGTTTGAACTTCGACAATAATTAGTAATTTTTCACAGGTCGGTCACATGCTCAATCTGCCCTGCTCAGTCTGCCCGTCTCGGAGGAGGAGCAGACTGAGCGTGGCTTACCAAAATCAGACTGCCTGCTTCGGATTGAACGAGAAGAACAAACCGCTGAAGCCACAGAGCTCAAATGTTTTCAGAGAAGTTGCTAAACTTCATCGTAATTAATGACCAACCTCTATCAGTTGTAGAAAACGAAGGATTTCGCAGCTTAATTGAATACTTGCAGCCAAGATATAGTTTACCCTCTAGGAGATATTTATCAGTACAGCAGTAGACAATCATAAAAAAGCATATGAATTGAAAATTACAAGAACATTATACAAACCGGATTCCAAAAAAGTTGGGACACTAAAGAAATTGGGAATAAAAGCTGAATGCAATGATGTGGAGATGAAAAATGTCAATATTTTATTCATAATATAACATAGATGACAGATCAAAAGTTTAATCTGAATAAATGTAACATTTCAAAGTAAAATATGTTGATTCAAAATTTCACAGTGTCAACAAATCCCAAAAAAGTTGGGACAAGTAGCAATAAGTGGCTGGCCAAAGGAAATTGAGCAAATAACGAACAGCTGGAAGACCAATTAACACTAATTAGGTCAACTGACAACATGATTGGGTATAAAAAGAGCTTCTCAGAGTGTCAGTGTCTCTCAGAAGCCAAGATGGTAAGAGGATCACCAATTCCACCATTGTTGCGCAGAAAGATAGTGCAGCAATACCAGAATGGTGTTACCCAGCGTAAAATAGCAAAGACTTTTAAGTTATCATCATCAACCGTGCATAGCATCATCAAAAGACTCAGAGAATCTGGAACAATTGCTGTGCGTAAGTGTCAAGGCCGTAAAACTCTACTGGATGCTCATGATCTTCGGGCCCTTAAACATCACTGCACCTCAAACAGGAATGCCACTGTCAATGAAATAACAGAATGGGCTCAGGAAAACTTCCAGAAAGCATTGTCAGTGAACACAATCCACCGTGCCATCCGCCGTTGCCAGCTGAAACTCTACAGTGCAAAGAGGAAGCCATTTCTAAGCAAGCTCCACAAGCTCAGACGTTTGCACTGGGCCAGGGGTCATTTAAAATG